TTTAAAGACAGCCAAAAATAGCTAAATGACTAGATTCAACATATTTTAACATGCCCAACAAGGACCAAGTCATTCTCCTATTTAATATCCTTGAAACTCAACAAATTCAGACCCTTTAATGGTCAAACCATGCCAGTTACGAATTTGCATGCTAATTAGCCTCTTCCATTGCTTTGATGACATGGGCTAGGCCTTGATTATTATTTGAGCCCATCTTGGTCTTTTTAGAATCAGCCCAATCCTCTTGGATTAGCCCATTTAGTGCTTCCTTGAAACGTTTGGCTCTAAGTCTTGTAATTGGGCCACTAGGAAGTGACAAAGAGTCTTGTGCAAATTCAGCTACATTCCCAATGGTAGATTAACATGTCCAGCTCCTTGGTTTGCATCATTCTCCCCCTCTTGAGAAGGATTTGTCCTCAAATCATCACCTACATCAAAAGGAGACAAATAAGCAACATTAAAGCTTGCACTGAAACCATACTTACCTGGTAAGTCAAGGTTGTAGGCATTATAATTGATGCATTCCACTGCTTGAAATGGTCCGTCACCCCAAGGTAGGAGTTTTGAACGCCGTTTCTCTGGAAAACAGTGTTTCCTTAAGTGCAACCAAACCCAATCTCCTAGTTCAAACACTACCTGCTTGCGTCCCTTGTTGGCTTGTTGGACATATTGTTTAGTCCTCCTTTCAATGTTCAGCTGTGCCTTTTCATGAATCATCTTTACAAATTCTACTTTCTTTTTGCCATCAAAGTTCACACGTTCACTCAAAGGTAAAGAAGTTAAATCCAAAGGTGACAATGGGTTAAAGCCATAAATAATTTCAAATGGTGAAAACATAGATGCAAAGTGTATACTTATATTGTAAGCAAATTCAACATGTGGCAAAATATCTTCCCGTGTTTTCAAGTTATTTTTAATGATAGCACGCAACAAAGAAGACAAAGTTCTATTTACTACTTCAGTTTGACCATCCGTTTGTGGATGACAAGAAGTAGAAAACAACAACTTGGTTCCCAACTTTCCCCACAAAATGAGAGAGAAACAAAAGTGTGAGCAAGAGGAAAACAGAAAGAGAGCAAGTGAGGTCGAGAGGAAAAATGGAGAGAAAAGTGAGCAAAAAGGAGAGAAAAATAAAAGAATGAGTGTACTTGCTGAAAAACATGACGTTAAGAGTTTAATGATGGCAAGGTAACAAGTACTTGTACTTATGTACAAGGATGTTTATTTTTCTACTAACGAACTTAACTCATCTTTGCCTAGTGTTGTCGTGTCTTTATTGTAGGAATTTGAGGACCTGTTTGCTGAGGAGATTCCCCATGGATTACCTCCTTAAAGAGGAATTGAGCATCAAATAGACTTCATACCTAGTTCCATCATACGAAATCAACCTGCTTATAGAGCTAATCCCGAGGAAACGAAGGAGATACAAAGGCAAGTGGATGAGCTGTTGTAAAAGGGATTTGTAGGGGAGAGTCTCAGCCCATGTTCGCTTCCTGTCCTCTTAGTCCCAAAGAAAGATGGAAAATGGCCCATGTGCTTGGATTGTCGAGCTATTAACAAGATAACAATAAAGTATAGACATCTTATCCCCAGATTAAATGATATGCTTGATGAATTGCATGGCTCTCAATTGTTTTCTAAAATTGATTTAAAGAACGGCTATTATCAGATTTGCATGAAAGAGGGAGATGAATGGAAAACTGCATTTAAAACTAAATATGGATTGTATGAGTGGTTAGTAATGCCTTTCGGTTTAACTAATGCACCTAGTACATTTCATGAAGTTAATGAACCATGTCTTGCGTGCTCATGGGAAAATTGTGGTAGTTTACTTTGATGATATTTTAGTTTAAGCAGAAAATTGGATGAACATGTGGAACACTGCATGTTGTGTTTAGGGGTGTTGATGTTAGAGTAGATGCCCTAGAGCCAATCAATTATTGTAGAATTGATCTTGTAATAAGGTTCATAATCAATAATAAAAGGTTTATTCTATATCGCGTAAATCATTATTATTGCAATATGTATTGTTATATGTCCTTAGAATTGTGGAACCGTGACGAGGGTTTCAAGTGTTTCAAATCTTGATAGTGACAACCCTTGAGCACATTGGTGGCCATTCTAGGAACATCCGTAGCCCGTATTATTCTAAAGTAAAGGCACAGAAATACGGTGAGGCTTCATAGTGTTGAACGACCCTGTCGAGAAGACAGTGACTGATCTCACTTGTCAAGGTTGTTTGGTGACAACCTGGTGCAACACATGGGTGCTTGTTGTAGGCGAATACACCGCAGCAAGTTCACTGGACTGACCCACCAGAGGATTCCATATGGATGGTAACCCCAGTGTCTATGGAACAAATCCTCTAACAAATGGTGGTACATGTGATCCTTAGACTTGAGATCATTAGAGCGCCTTGTGCACCGATTGGTGCAGTTTGACACTAGCCTAACGTAGTTCTATTCAAAGCTGTCAATATGGTGGTGATTGGCTGCATCAAGGAGTGTATCAAGAGTATGGTGGATTGATAGAGGATTCATCACTCCCGGGTACGGGAGAAGTTATCTCACGGCGCAATTCAATAGATGGCAATGACACAAAAATGTGGCCACAGTAGGATTGAGTTGTTCCTCTATTTGGATTATAATACAGGTCATTAGTCCAGAAACTGAATACATAATATTGAGAGGAACTGAAGGTTGACACTATTTCTATGCCTTGTCTCGTCGAGATAATGGATGATGAAAGGATCAAATTGTATGGTAACCATATCGTTGACAAGTAGCTATTTTGCTGAATCCGAATCTATCGGGTGGCCATGATGCCTTGCTAAGGGCCAATCTTGGTCTGTATATTAGTGAGACGATTAATTGGCATTAATCGTGATACTATACACTGTCGGTATGATGAGGAGCCTATGGGTCACACACATAGAAGATAATTCAAGACTCGGGAAGAAAGAAGGGCATTTTCGTCTTTTTAGGGCAAAAGGGTATTTTGATAATTTCACAGTGCAATTAAATTTGCTGAGGTCGTAGCCTTTATTCAATTTATTAGAAAAATTAAATAAGTGAAATTACGTTTAAATATGTGTTCGCATATATTTAATTAAATCATTATTATTGTTAAATGTTAATATATATACATTAATTGATTTTAATTGAAGATAATGATGAATTAAAATAAAATATCTAATTGGGAGTGTTTGGTAACATGTGGTGTTTGGGTTGGAGCCCAAGGCTATTCCATATGGGAATAGGGCATTAAAATTTTACTATAAAAGAAAAAGATTATTTGTAAAAATTTAAGAGATTTTTATTAGTTCATTTTCTTTTGTAAAGGAAAAACACACAACCCCAAACTCTCTCTCCCACAGCAGATTCAATTTTTGCCTAAAATCAATTTCATTGATTTTTCTTCTTGATTTTAAAGCTAAGGAGGATCTAGCAAATCCCTTCTTAGTTCTTTGTGATTGTCTTCATGTGGACTACGTGGGTTCGATCCTATACTTGGGTCGGTAGCAAAACGTTCACTAACAAATTTGGAGGAGCCTCCAAACGTCTGTATGTATTTCTAAACTCATGAATAATTTCTGCAGATTTCTATTTTAACATAAACTGTAAAATTGTACCGTTGATCTTGGCTCAATGGGAACGATCCTTGTTATTATGATTTTGTTTTCCGCTGCGTATATGGACCGTTTCCTAACAGTTGACAGAGCACCAATTGTATGCTAATCTTAAGAAGTGCATGGTTTGCATGGAATCTGTTATGTTTCTTGGATTTATTGTTAGTTCGCAGGGTATTAGTGTTGATGAAAAAAAGGTAAGGGCAATAAGGGACTGGCCTACACCTAAGAATGCAAACGAGTGAGAAGCTTCCATGGTTTAGCAAGTTTTTATCGAAGGTTTGTTAAAGATTTTAGTTCTATTGCTACACCTTTGAATGAACTTGTTAAAAAGAATGTTGTTTTTAAGTAGGATAATGTGCATGACTAGGCTTTCAAAACTTTGAAAGATAAGCTAACTAATGCACCTTTATTATGTTTGTCTAACTTTGATAAAGCTTTTAAGATAGAACGTGATGCATCCGGGATTGGAATAGGAGCTGTTTTGATGCAGGATTCCAAACCAATTGCTTATTTTAGTGAAAAGCTAAGTGGGGCAGCGTTGAATTATCTTACTTACGACAAGGAGTTTATGCGTCAGTGAGAACTCTTCAAACTTGGCAGCATTACTTGTGGCCAATAGAATTCATCATTCATTCTGACCATGAGAGCTTGAAGTTCTTGAAGACCCAAGGTAAGCTTAATAAAAGACATGCTAAGTGGTTGGAATTCTGATACGAACTCCACCAACAATTATGATGAAACCTGATAACAATGATGGATTGAAACCCCAAGATCGTGAAGACAAGATTTGTTGAGTCTTGACCCGTCACCTAACAAGATGAAAATCAAGAATACGAAGCATTGAAACACCACACCAAGAAAACCTAAGAATTCAAGGTGATAAGCTTGGTTGTTTGAATGCCACAAGATTAACTTGATAAGTTCAAGAGTTCTTTTTAAGAACTAAGAGGAACACAAGACCTCACAAGATGATAATTTTCTGAATAACCAAATCTATCTTTGAAATTCGTAATACCCATCTATATACTTGGAACAACCTTTCAAGAATAGCCAAAGTCATAATTACAACTTTAAAAACAACACAAAAATTAACCTAAACGAGTCCTCACGTTTTCTAGGACTCTTGGACTTCTAAAGACAGCCAAAAATAGCGACTAGATTCAATGTACTTTAACATGCCCAACCAAGACCAAGTCATTCTCCTATTTAATATCCTTGAAACTCAACAAATTCACACCCTTTAATGGTCAAACCATGCTGGTTATGAATTTGCATGCTAATTAGCCTCTTCAATTGCTTTGATGACATGGGCTAGGCCTTGATTATTATTTGAGCCCATCTTGATCTTTTTAGAATCAACCCAATTCTCTTAGATTGGCCCATTTAGTGCTTCCTTGAAACGTTTGGCTCTAAGTCTTGTAATTGGACCACTAGGAAGTGACAAAGGGTCTTGTGCAAATTCAGCTCCATTCCCACTTGTATGATTAACATGTCCAGCTCCTTGGTTTGCATCATTCTCCCCCCATTGAGAAGGATTTGTCCTCAAATAATCACCTACATCAAAAGGAGACAAATCAGCAACATTAAAGCTTGCACTGACACCATACTCACCTGGTAAGTCAAGCTTGTAGGCATTATAATTGATGCGTTCCACTACTTGAAATGGTCCGTCACCCTGAGGTAGGAGTTTTGAATGTCATTTCTCTGGAAAATGGTCCTTCCTTAAGTGCAACCAAACCCAATCTCTTGGTTCAAATGCGTCCCTTGTTGGCTTATTGGACATATTGTTTAGTCCTCCTTTCAATGTTCAGCCGTGCCTTTTCATGAATCATCTTTACAAATTCTGCTTTCTTTTTGCCATCTAAGTTCACACGTTCACCCAAAGGTAAAGAAGTTAAATCCAAAGGTGACAATAGGTTAAAGCCAAAAACAATTTCAAATGGTGAAAACATAGATGCAAAGTGTATACTTATATTGTAAGCAAATTCAACATGTGGCAAACAATCTTCCTGTGTTTTCAAGTTCTTTTTAATGATAGCACGCAAAAAAGAAGACAAAGTTCTATTTACTACTTCAGTTTGACCATCCGTTTGTGGATGACTAAAAGTAGAAAACAACAACTTGGTTCCCAACTTTCCCCACAAAATGAGAGAGAAACAAAAGTGTGAGAAAAAGGAGACTAGAAAAAGAGCAAGTGAGGTCGAGAGGAAAAATGGAGAGAAAAGTGAGCAAAAAGGAGAGAAAAGTGAGCAAGAAGGAGAGAAAAATAAAAGAATGAGTGTACTTGCTGAAAAACATGAGGTTAAGAGTGTTATGATGGCGAGGCAACAAGTACTTGTACTTATGTACAAGGATGTTAATTTTTCTACTAACGACCTTAACCCATCTTTGCCTAGTGTTGTCGTGTCTTTATTGCAGGAATTTGAGGACCTGTTTCCTAAAGAGATTCCCCATGGATTACCTCTTTTAAGAGGAATTGAGCATCAAATAGACTTCATACCTGGTTCCTGTTAGAGTAGATGCCCTAAAGCCAATCAATTATTGTAGAATTGACTCTTTGTAATAATGTTCATTAATCAATAAAATGCATTTTATTCTATGTCGCGTAAATCGTTATTATTGCAATATGTATTGATATATGTCCTTAAAAATGGTAGAACCGTGACCAGGGTATCAAGTGTTTCAAATCTTGATAGTGAGAACCCTAGGAGCACATATGGTGGTCATTCTAGAAACGTCCGTAGCCCCAGTATTATTCTAAAGTAAAGGCACCAATAATACGGTAAGGCTATCATAGTGTTGAACGACCCTGTTGAAAGGCAGTGACTGATCTCACTTGTCAAGGTTGTTTGGTGACAATCTGGTGCAACACATGGGTGCTTGCTGTAGGCGAATACACCTCAGCAAGTTCACTGGACTGGCCCACCAGAGGATTCCATATGGATGGTAACCCTAGTGTCTTTGGAACAAATCCTCTAACGAATGGTGGTGCATGTGATCCTCAAACTTGAGATCACCAGAGCACCTTGTGCACCGATTGGTGCAGTTTGACACTAGCCTAACACAGTTCTATTCAGAGCTGTCAATACGGTGGTGATTGGCCGCATCAAGGAGTATATCAAGACTATGGTGGATTGACAGAGGATTCATCACTCCCGGGTACGGGAGAAGTTATCTTGCGGTACAATTCAGTATATGGCAATGACACTAAAACTGTGGCGATAGTGGGATTGAGTTGTTGCTTTATCTGGATTATAATATAGGTTATTGGTCCAAAAACTGAATACATAATATCGAGAGTAACCGAAGGTTGACACTATTTATGTGCCTTCATCTCGTCGAGATAAGGAATGATGAAAGGATCGAATTGTACAGTAATCATATCATTGACAGTAGTTGCTTTGCTGAATCCGAATCTATCAGGTGGCCATGATGCCTTGCTAAGGGCCAATCTTGGTCTGTATATTAGTGAGACGATTAATTGGTGTTAATCACGATACTATACACTACCGGTATGATGAGGAGCCTATGGGTCACACGCATAGAAGATAATTTAAGAGCCAAGAAGAAAGAAGGGTGTTTTCGTCTTTTTTGGGCGAAAGGGTATTTTGGTAATTTTACAGTGCAATTAAATTTGCTGAGGTCGTAGCCTTTATTTAATTTATTAGAAAAATTAAATAAGTGAAATTACGTTTAAATNTAAGGTTGTTATTTTTGGCTCTAATTAATCCTTTGTTTCCTCATTTATCTATGGCTCTAATGGTCCGCGGGAAAGGAGAGAATTATGGAGAGAGTTGATGGGTAGCTCAAGATTTTGAGGAAATACCATGGGTGATTATGGGTGATTTCAATGCGATGAGATAGGTGAAGAAATTATGTTTCGGACTTGAATAATATGTTTAAGGAGACTAGGCTTGAGGACCTTCAGTTTATGGGTAACTTTTTCACTTGTAGTAACATGAGAGAAGGGGAACATAGGATTACTACTAAGATTGATCGAGCTCTTGTGAATGAAAAGTGGGGCAGTGTGTTTTGTAATTCCATAGCCAATTTCCTTCCCCCAAGCATCTCGGATCATTCTCCTTGTATTGTTGAATGTGGGATTATGTCTTCACCTAGGAAAATCCCATTTCGGTTCTTCAACTTTTGGGCTCACCATGAAAGTTTCATTAGCATTGTTAGTAAGGCTTAGGAAGAAGAAGTTAGGGGTACCCCTATATTTCAATTGGTTACTAAACTGAAGAGAGTCAAAGAAGCATTAAAAGTGTTTAACAAGAGGGAGTTTGGGAATATCTCGGCAAGAGTTATTGAAGCTAGAGAAAACCTCCTAAGGGTCCAGCATGCTCTTGCTTCTAATCCTCTTGAAGAGAACCTTATTATTGAAGCTAGAGAAAACCTCCTAAGGGTCCAGAACACAAGCTATTTCTTCAAGTGTGTGAATGGCTGAAAGAATAGAAAGAGAATCACCATGCTTAAGTTTGATAACGGCATGGTTATTGAAGACACTTTGAGCATTAAGGAGGAAATTGTCAACCACTTTTAAAGAGTTTTTGAGGAGCCAAGGGGTGTGAGAGACTTCCGGGGTTTAGAGGAACTTATTGAACCTTGCATCACTAGTGATATGGCTAATGGGATGATTGCCAAAGTGACGGATAAGGAAATCAAGAACACTCTGTTTTCGTTGGGCAATAACAAAGCTCCTGGACTGGATGGTTTTGGTGCTTATTTCTTCAAGAAAGCTTGGGATGTGGTGGGAAAAGATGTGATTATGGCTTTTAAAGATAATACGAACTCCACTAACAATTGTGATGAAACCCAATAACAATGATGGATTGAAACCCCAAGATCGTGAAGACAAGATTTGTTGAGATTTGACCCGTCACCTAACAAGATGAAAATCAAGACTACAAAGGCTTGAAACGCCACACCAAGAAAACCTAAAAAAAATTCTCTCAAGAATTCAAGGTGATAAGTTTGGTTGTTTGAACGCCACAAGATTACTTGATAAGTTCAAGAGTTCTTTTTAAGAACTAAGAGGAACACAAAACCTCACGAGATGATAATTTTCTGAATAACCAAAAATCCCCCTTAAAATTTGCAATACCCATCTATATACTTGGAACAACCCTCCAAGAATAGGCAAAGTCATAATTGCAGCTTAAAATCCCCTAAAATTCGTAATATCCATCTATATACTTGGAACAAGCTTCCAAGAATAGGCAAAGTCATAATTGCAGCTTCAAAAACAACACAAAAATTAACCTAAACAAGTCCCCACGTTTTTTTGGACTCTTGGACTTTTAAAGACAGCCAAAAATAGCTAAACGACTAGATTCAATGTATTTTAACATGCCCAGTGAGGACCAAGTCATTCTCCTATTTAATATCCTTGAAACTTAACAAATTCACACCCTTTAATGGTCAAACCATGTTGGTTACAAATTTGCATGCTAATTAGCCTCTTCAATTGCTTTGATGACATGGACTTGGCCTTGATTATTATTTGAGCCCATCTTGGACCTTTAAGAATCAGCCCAATTCTCTTGGATTAGCCCATTTAGTGCTTCCTTGAAATGTAAATCCGCATGCTAAATGGACTTCTAAAGACAACCAAAAATAGTAAAATGACTAGATTCAATGTATTTTAACATGCCCAACCAGGACCAAGTCATTCTCCTATTTAATATCCTTTGAAACTCAACAAATTCACACCCTTTAATGGTCAAACCATGCTGGTTACGAATTTGCATGCTAATTAGCCTCTTCAATTGCTTTGATGACATGGGCTAGGCCTTGATTATTATTTGAGCCCATCTTGGTCTTTTTAGAATCAGCCCAATTCTCTTGGATTAGCCCATTTAGTGCTTCCTTGAAACGTTTGGCTTTAAGTCTTGTAATTGGACCACTAGGAAGTGACAAAGGGTCTTGTATAAATTCAGCTCCATTCCCACTTGTATGATTAACATGTCCAGCTCCTTGGTTTGCATCATTCTCCCCCTCTTGAGAAGGATTTGTCCTCAAATCATCACCTACATCAAAAGGAGACAAATCAGCATTAAAGCTTGCATTGACACCATACTCACCTGGTAAGTGAAGCTTGTAGGCATTATCATTGATGCGTTCCACTACTTGAAATGGTCTGTCACCCCGAGGTAGGAGTTTTGAACATCGTTTCTTCGGAAAACAGTCCTTCCTTAAGTGCAACCAAACCCAATCTCATGGTTCAAACACTACCTTCTTGCGTCCCTTATTGGCTTGTTGGACATATTGTTTAGTATGGCGTTTTCGTCTTTTTAAGCGAAAAGGTATTTTGGTAATTTCACAGTGCAATTAAATTTGCTGAGGTCGTAGCCTTATTTAATTTATTAGAAAAAATTAAATAAGTGAAATTACGTTTAAATATGTGTTCGCATATATTTAAATAAATTATCATTATTGTTAAATATTAATGTCTATATTAAATATATATTAATTGATTTTAATTGAGATAATGATGAACTAAAATAAATATCTAATTGGGAGTGTTTGGAAACAAAGGGTGTTTGGGTTGGAGCCCAAGCCTATTCCATAAGGGAATAAGGCAATTAAAATTGGACTATAAAAGAAAAGTTTTAATTGAAAAGGTTAAGTGATTTTCATTCTACTCATTAATTGAAAAGAGAAAAACCTCCAGCCCCTTAAACACTCTCCCACGTCAGAATGGTTTTTGCCTAAAATCAAATTTCTTTGATTCTTCTTCTTTATTCTTAAGGCTAAAGAGGATCTAGCAAATCCCTCTTTAGTTCCTTGCGATTGTCTTCGTGTGGACTACATTGGTTCGATCCTACACTTGGGTAGGTAGCAAAATACATTCAGAGACAACTTGGAGGAGCCTCCAAACGTGCATATGATTCCTTAAAACTCTAAACTAATTTTTGCAGATTCTTATTTTGATATAAACTATAAATTTGTA